TGACGTCTGACTGCTGTTGTCACCTTTTCCACAGAGCAACCCCGGGAGATGAGTCTCACTCAGCACGAGGTTCATTGCCAAAACTGTACAGTACAGTGCAATGATATATTTCAAAACAATAAGTGGAACTAACTATCGGTGAAAATCAATTCCTGCCACCCGGACACGGACGCCGATTCCTGGACCGTGCGGGTCACTCCCAGACAGATCGCGACTCGACGTCAGCCGTGGCTGGATAATGAACTCAGGCAACAGGGTTCAATAGTGCAGTGCGCTAACCACTGCACCACCACTCCTCCTGCCATCCAATGAGCACTTACCTGCTCATAAATAGAGGTCATCTATCCCTCTGTCTTCATATCTCATCGCAAATGATTTACGGCCCATGGGAGTTTGTGCCAGCTTGACAGCTTGGTGACAACGTCTTAGCGTGATGTAAAATCCGTCGTGCATGAAGACGCTCGTCAGTTGTTTAATCGATGCATGAAGCTGGGCATCCTCCATGCCAGCAATGCATCGAGATAGGACTCGGCGAGTCTCAGCAATATTCAGAGACAGTGCGCCAGACGCTTCAGTCACACTCGAAGGTGACGCATCGATGTCAGCACCGCGTAAAGGTGCGACCGCATCTTGCGCTGACATCGGTTCGTTGGATTGAATCTGGTCTTCCTCTAGGTTAACTCATCCTAAAATGAGTTCACACTTTACCACTGGCAGGGATCAACATGATGGGCTGGCCGGCACGACCGTGGCGGCTGAGTGCGGTGCACTTCTGGCCGTTCCAGCCCCTCCGTTGTGTTGCGTGCGGTGCTGGTTGCGAGCGCGTCGTCGAGCGTACGGTGGCAAGATGTTAACTACCTCGCCTGGTACACGTGAGGTTGTGGGTTCGATTGTGACCCCGAGGCCGTGGTCGGCGTGGATATTTTCTCCGGGTCCTCCGGTTTTTTCCCCCTCCACATTGAGAATCAACAACACGCATTTAGAGTATTTGGCTGCTATAAATGTCCACGTGATAAACCACTCCGTTGAGCTATCGTTTGTGGCCAGGTCGCTTCTGAAAAAAATTGCTACATAGCTCAGTGGGCCTTATCTGTAAAAAAAAAATAGTTTAGTTTTTAGTTGAGTTTATAGGAGCTCGCTACAAAGCGCACCCAGCAGCAGCAGTGTCTCAGCATGCCAGGGCGGACCGGGATGTGTGCACGTTCCCGAGCCGCGCGCCTACGCCACCTCTCGTCTGTCATTGTTTGCTCAGAGTGGTCCACTTGTACAATAATTGCCACGCTAAGGAAAATTTAAATGAAATCCGGCTGCTGAAATTTCAGCACGCGCTCTCGATGTTGTTGGTTTCCGATTATGAATGAGACGCCGCACACGGTGCTTTTTGTTTTCCACATGAAATAGCAAAGGGCGCAAAGGCAGCGTTGTCTCACAGATGACAAAGTCAGGCAGTGAGACTAGTGCGGGTATGGCCCCAACTGAGCTAAGAAGTTCCATCTTTCATACGTCCAGTGGCGACAAAGAACATACGTAAAGTTGCACACGTGCAGCTCATGATTGGATCTTACGGATACAAATGTGTTACTGTTTCAATTACCCACATCCATAATGTCTATATTTTATTGTAATATGGTAATAACTGAGAGCCCATTGACAGTCCACCGCGGCATTTGGGCCTCCCTGTGTTGTGTCGTTCTTGGGGGTTTGTGTGACTATACTTCACCACGCTGGTCAGAACGGGTTGGTCAGGGGGTGGGGGGTGCCGGCCCTGGGACCAGTTCAGCAATTACTCGCCACTCACGTTAACCATGGCCAGTGAACTCTGGCTGCTGGGTTCAGAGCGTGTAGTACTAACGACTGCACCACAACTCGCCTGTTTTGTATTTTAACTCAATATATAACTGCACATTTTTAGAGCAACATTCATTAATTTCCATTATGATAACAGGTTTCCCTCTTTTATCTCGCAACAAAAAAGACTGAGCTCTGAGAAAAGCCGTCTCGGGTGTGGACCAATCAAATTCAAGGACAGTGCATATGATCAGAGTTGTCTTTTTTGTTTGCATTTTGACTACTTGTGTTGTGGTTTTTGCAAACATGATCCCTTGTATAAGGTGTCAGTTTTTGTGCCAGATAAAAGGGTCAAAACCTATTACAGCAAAAAAAATGTTAAAACACAAAACTGAAACCTTTTTTTTATAAGGGATCATGTCTGCATTAACCACAATACTTGTGGTTAAAATGCAAACAAACAAAACACACTCTGATACTATATGCATTGTCTTTGAAACTGATTTGTCTACACCAGAGACAGCTTTCTTTGTCTCAAACGGTGTTAGACCAGAGGACGCCAAAAGGCGAACACAGCTCAAAGACAATGGCACTATCAGAGTAATGAGAGCTCGGAGTGAGCAGCTACATCATGGGACCTCCTTTGCCAGAACTGGCAAAGGAGGTCCAATGATGTAGAATTTTCATTATATTCAAGAAAAATGCAAAGATCCCCCGTGTAGCTTTAACAGACTGTTGGGGCAAGTGTTGTTAGCGAGCACCTATGAAGATGGGCACGGCACACGAGAGGATAGGTGGCCAGCACCACGCCCGGCCGCCTTTGTCTCCCCAGTGGCGATGTTTACACACCGCACCAGGTACTCATATGATGCTGAGTCGACCTACACACATTCACACTTACGTTCTTTAAATAACCGAGTGAGAACCCGTTTAAATCCACTGTCCTTATTTCCGAAGTGAACTTTGATAACTGCGGGTGCAAAAGTTACATGCACTCGTGCCCAAATCTAGTGGCAATAAAACCTAACTGTGTAACTTGTAATCCATGAATCATGCCCAGACATCCGGTAAATTGAGGAGTCGTACTGAGCGGCGGTGAGAGGAGTGGGTTGGTTCATCTCCACCCCCGAGCTTAGCAGTGGGAGCGAAACGTCGTCCTACCTTGATGTTGAACTCAGTCGTGAAAAGTCTGAAGACACCGGTCAGGAGTTTTGTTGGTCAAAATTTGATAGGTAGCCGAATTCTTCGATGGTCCAGCCTCAATAAATTCTAAAGTCTGAGCAACATGTTGGCACGTATAAATAGCATCTTCGTAAATGCGACAGTCTGGTTTTAGCACCATTGGCGTGAAAGAATTTCCACATACGTCTATAGATTGTTGGGTGGTGGAGGGTGAATGACAAGAATTTCAGCATAAAACAACCGCGTGGGCCTAACCCAGCAGCGACTACGGATCGGTGGTGAACGGCGTCGCCATGGATACTTAGTCCGGTAGCGACAGGCATCGGGCAGTGCTCATCTCCGCTACATCGGCAGTGGAATTTTCACACTCACAGGTTCCCCGTCATCACTCGCTGGAGTGAAACGTCATTGTACGTTGATGTTGAATTCAGTCGTGAAAGGTCTTAAGCCATCGGTGAGGAGGAGCTTCATCGGTGAGGATTTTATCACTACACTGGTCACGTATAAATAATACATTTATAAACGTGACTATCTTGTCGGGTTGTGGAGGGTTAACGAGAATCATTTTGGCATAAATCTAGTGCGCGGCCCTAACCTAAAAACAAGTACGGGTTGGATTTATTGATGCACATTAATAAGTGACAACTCTGGGCCATATACAGTCTAATAAACCACAATGGGTTGGGCTCCTTCAGTGGACGAGGAACAGCAAAACGACACCAACTCTCTATCCTGAAGCCCTCTCGTCGTGGCCAGCAGCAGACCTCGACATTAGCATCTAGCTCCTGAACATAAAGCCATCATGCTCAATAGTAGAATAAGAAAAGTGATGTATCCTTGTGAGTTATGGGTTTTGACAGACTGACAGAAATTCTACAGCACAGTGGGGCTTATTACCTTTTTTCCCACAGTCAGTATTATGATTCGTAATTCATTCTTAAGGCCACGTAATGTTCTGGCCAAATTTCTGCCATGAGCCCCTCCAACAGTGAGACTTGCATCAGCCAATGAGCGTCACTTTCACAGGAGTCAAAATCGACAGAGGGGAGAAAATGTATTGGTGCTTAAAGCGGGAAATGTGGTCCAACGATTACACAGCTCTCGTTTTGTGAACATGTTCGGACTGAGCGAGTATTTCAGGCCGCTCAACGCGAGCTCGAAGCCCCATTCAGCAGTGGATCATCGCAGCTATTGCCGATCCACTGTGCCAAATCGTATGTTGTGGTGTCAAAGGGCGATGTCAACACACCAATCGCACCACGTTGGTGTAAGCTCTCCCCATCTTTCAAGTCCCCTCTTTGTGAAGCCCATCATCCCCACGGTGTCAATAAAAATGGTACCATCTTGTAGGAAATGAACAGTGACTGCCCTATGTGGCGACTGACACTTTGCTATATGAGTGACGAGTCTATAAAGGAATACTGTGTGCCCCATTGCAGAGAATGATCCAGCACCACCGTACATCAATGGTCACGTGCCTTGTCTAATATACCATACAAGGGTTTTGGTTTTGGGACCAAATTGTAGGTAGGTAATGAACGCATTTTGCCACTGCTGAGAAATACAACCCTTTACTATTATTATTATCAGGGGTGTGAAAAAATACTTAAATTATTTTTTTCGTGCACATCCGTTTAAATGTTAGCTGCTCCTCACTCGTCGAGGATCGGTGACTCGGTGCCCCACGTGACCGCAATTACATCAGCAAGTAAACACGATTACTTTAAGAAGAAATCAAAATGGACACGTTGTGTCTTCACCCCCGGTTCTGTGAAGGTTAACAATACATTAAAAAGCCTAATTTACACGTGTTATGCACGATGAACGCTTTCATTTTCTCCGGACAAACCTTACAATTTTACATTTGATACTGATGAGTTTATTCAAAAGTATAAAACGTATTACTATAATCAATAGCCACGAGTAGGTAACTAACCAAATGCCCGTTTAAAGATTGGTTACTCGAATGTTTTGTTTCAATGTGATTCTCATCAGGGCCCCCATGGTGTGTACCGGTGCAGTCTCCAAACCTCCGACCGCAATGGAGAGGCGAGCAGACTGGATGCCCGGTCTCTTGACAGATGACGATCAGAAGCCAAATCGGAAATTCGATTGGAAGGGGGGGGGGAATAACAAAAGAATAACAAAAGGAAAAAGTTAAATTGATTTATATACAGTGAGGGAAAAAAAGTATCTGATCCCCTGCTGATTTTGTACGTTTGCCCACTGACAAAGAAATGATGAGTCTATAATTTTAATGGTAGGTTTCTTTGAACAGTGAGAGAGAATAACAACAACAAAAAAATCCAGAAATACACATGTCAAAAATGTTATAAATTGCTTTGCATTTTAATGAGGGAAATAAGTATTTGACCCCTCTGCAAAACATGACTTAGTACTTGGTGGCAAAACTCTTGTTGGCAATCACAGAGGTAAGACGTTTCTTGTAGTTGGCCACCAGGTTTGCACACATCTCAGGAGGGATTTTGTCCCACTCCTCTTTGCAGATCTTCTCCAAGTCATTAAGGTTTCGAGGCTGATGTTTGGCAACTCGAACCTTCAGCTCCTTCCACAGATTTTCTATGGGATTAAGGTCTGGAGACTGGTTAGGCCACTCCAGGACCTTAATGTGCTTCTTCTTGAGCCACTCCTTTGTTGCCTTGGCGGTGTGTTTTGGATCATTGTCATGCTGGAATACCCATCCACGACCCATTTTCAATGCCCTGGCTGAGGGGAGGAGGTTCTCACCCAAGATTTGACGGTACATGGCCCCGTCCATCGTCCCTTTGATGCGGTGAAGTTGTCCTGTCCCCTTTGCAGAAAAACACCCCCAAAGCATAATGTTTCCACCTCCATGTTTGACGGTGGGGATGGTGTTCTTGGGGTCATAGGCAGCATTCCTCCTCCAAACACGGCGAGTTGGATTGATGCCAAAGAGCTCCATTTTGGTCTCATCTGACCACGACACTTTCACCCAGTTGTCCTCTGAATCATTCAGATGTTCATTGACAAACTTCAGACGGGCATGTATATGTGCTTTCTTGAGCAGGGGGACCTTGTGGGCGCTGCATGATTTCAGTCCTTCACGGCATAGTGTGTTACCAATTGTTTTCTTGGTGACTATGGTCCCTGCTGCCTTGAGATCATTGACAAGATCCTCCCGTGTAGTTCTGGGCTGATTCCTCACCGTTCTCATGATCATTGCAACTCCACGAGGTGAGATCTTGCATGGAGCCCCAGGCCGATGGAGATTGACAGTTCTTTTGTGTTTCTTCCATTTGCGAATAATCACACCAACTATTGTCACCTTCTCACCAAGCTGCTTGGCAATGGTCTTGTAGCCCATTCAAGCCTTGTGTAGGTCTACAATCTTGTCCCTGACATCCTTAGAGAGCGCTTTGGTCTTGGCCATGGTGGAGAGTTTGGAATCTGATTGATTGATTGCGTCTGTGGACAGGTGCCTTTTATACAGGTAACAAGCTGAGAGTAGGAGCACTCCCTTTAAGAGTGTGCTGCTAATCTCAGCTCGTTACCTGTATAAAAGACACCTGGGAGCCAGAAATATTTCTGATTGAGAGGGGGTCAAATACTTATTTCCCTTATTAAAATGCAAATCAATTTATAACATTGACATGCGTTTTTCTGGATTTTGTTGTTGTTATTCTGTCTCTCACTGTGCAAATAAACCTACCATTAAAATTATAGACTGATCATTTCTTTGTCAGTGGGCAAACGTACAAAATAAGCAGGGGATCAAATACTTTTTTCCCCTCACTGTATATACAAATTTTCGTTGATAGTTTTCTCGAAAAAGAATAGCACCAATGATACGGGAGCAATAACATTGACTTCCCTGTACTGTGCTGCATCGTGCACAAATATTGACACACACACGAACACAATGTGCTATAGCCTACATTGCAAAGTCTCAGGTATTTTCCATTCAGTCTCTCACACACACACACTGGCTCAGGTGAACTCTGCTCTGTTTACCAGCGATCGCGTTATTTATAAATGTGTCGTAACCCTCCACCACCCGATACGGCCAATCAGCAAAAAAAGTGTCACGTTGACAAAAGACAAATAATTCACTACTTTAGCCCACCGGTGTGTTGAAGAGTGAATCCACAACATTTACAGTTTGAGTACGATGTTTCGCTGGTAAATACATCCAGCATCATCGGGCAATTCGCCAGAACTCTTCATCGGGCAATTCGCCAGAATGTATTTACCAGCGAAACGTCGTACTCAAACTGTAAATGTTGTGGATTCACTCTTCAACACACCGGTGGGCTAAAGTAGTGAACTAATTGTCTTTTGTCAACGTGACACTTTTTTTGCTGATTGGCCGTGTCGGGTGGTGGAGGGTTACGACACATTTATAAATAACGTGATCTAGCCCAAAAACCTTTATTATGAATAATATTGGTCGCGAAAGCCTACGTGTTAAACTAATAATTATTGACCTGATTTTTGCGGGTCCCACCAATTGCTTCAATTACCTGGCAGTCGTCTCTCTCAGGTGGCAGAGTGGGGAGCGCAGGTGGTGCATTTGCCAGACATGGAACCTGGGTCTATCCTGTGGCCTCATTCCTGCCACAAGCCTTCGAGACTTCGGGTGGCGTCAAAGTGCACCTAGCCTGGCACAAGCACAGTACTGTGAGGTGGTGGTGGTGGCGATGTTGCCGTCACTTTGTAAGGGAATATGGCATCTGTTGTTATATTTTTACATGTATACAGAGTACGTAATTGAACACCGAGAACTAATTTCTTTAGCACTGCTTTTAGTGTTTAGTTGTCCTTACCCCGCCATTCCGATTGGCACGGTTGGCTACGTGCGGTGCGAAAAGGGTTCAACAAACATATGTAAGAACATAGGTGCAGTATATATGTGTAAGTACATATATGCTGTATATAATATACCACATACAGTATAGACATGGTGTGTGTGTAAATCGCATAGAGTTGAAGAGTTCTGGCTTAGTTGGTCGACCAGTCGGGCTCAAGATTGAGGTCGGTGACTTTAAGTGGTGCTCCCACAACACCATCACCAGCTGCATCATATTCACCCCGCAGTGTCGGCAGTCCAATCATCAATCATCATAACTCCTGGGGTCGGTAAACGGAACCCTTGGTGAAATATAAGCACTCGGGAGTTAAATCAAGTGCTTGTTTTATTATTTGTGTGCATGGTGCCCGTCAGACGAATGTGGAATGTTTACCATTCGGTCGGGGCTATCACCAGAGATGAGTGAGTGGACTTCCCTTGCGCCCATACACAGAGACACGAATCACCCGACGCTTAGAGGCAAGGCCCGTTTCAGTTCGAGTGCCATGGATACAATCCGATGTACTCACTAGACGTGTTTACCCACGAGCGCCTCACTGAGTGTCGAGTCTGTTTTGTCAGGAGGAGGTTCCTGCCAATAATTATCTCGTGAAGCATCCATGTACGGAGGAAGGTTTGAGGATGATGTCTGATGCAACAAGCACAAGTCACATGCAGAATCTCACCAATAACCGCTGGCTTGTGGCACTCCAGGTAAGCTGCGCCCCTTGGTGGCGAGTGCCGGTGATGGGTCGTGATTCTTGGTGGTGAGTGCCGGTGATGGGTCGTGATTCTTGGTGGTGAGTGCTGGGTCGTGATTCTTGGTGGTGAGTGCCGGTGTTGGGTCGTGATTCTTGGTGGTGAGTGCCGGTGATGGGTCGTGATTCTTGGTGGTGAGTGCTGGTGATGGGTCGTGATTCTTGGTGGCGAGTCCTGGGTCGTGATTCTTATCGAGTCGGACTTGAGTGCCGCTGAGCGAGGGGTTTGCCGAGTGGTGATGAGTGTTTTAAATTGGTGAGGGGTAAGTGGGTGAGTCTGCACGTTGTTCAGGAGGGTTCTGCATTTTGATGTTTAGACAATTCCATTTTATATACAGTGTTTTGCACTTGAAATAAAATCGAAACCCACGTGAGGGTAAAGCAAAACTCACACGTCCGCACAGATGGGTTCATGACCCCACTTGCTCTGCTGTAATACCGTGACCACCTCGCAGCCGAGTGGGGTTCGTAGTTGCGCGAATTAGCGTGATCCACGCATCTCCATCTTCTACCTAAAGAGCTGATCACAGATTGAACATCAGAGCAATGCTTGCGGCAGGATGAGCTTGGCAAGTGCTCTTGGGACTACACCTTGCCGTGAAAGGGCCAACCCAGAAGGTCCTTGGGGTTTGATTTTGCGCGAAGCTACTCATGGTCCCACCTTAAACCGCATCCGCTGCACAAACCATGGCAGCAGTAAATGCAGATACCTGTCGGGACAGCCAACATCCTGCCAGACCCGCAGCTTGAAGAGGCGAAGACCACGACGCCGGCACCACGACGAGTTCCATTCCAGATGGCAGCAGCCCCGACTGTGAGTCGGAGCTCGCCTTTTATCCTCCCCAGCGTGGCCAGGCTCCGCCCTCGGCCACGCCCCCCTCTGGATCCCCCAAAAGGCTCGGGGCTTGGCCCACGGGTCCAGCTGGCAGAGTGGGCTGCTACCCCCAATCCCATTGTCTACCAATCTCCCAGCGCCACGTGCGACAGTGACGCATTCAATGTTACTGCACACGTTACAAATGTGTGTTTTAATATTTGTGGGTTTTTTTTTAATTTAGGGTCCCTTTATAACATATGCTACAGGCCCCACACTAGCTTAATCCGGCACTGATTCCAGCCTGTCGCGTGAAACGTCGGACATCGTACCGAACAACACCGCTGTACTGTACCAACCCGAAACACATCGGATGGTTTTGTTTGGTGAGCTGTCAGCAGATGGCGTAGGAAGATCAACAAATATTGGTCTGCTTCGACTCACTGCCCCGCTCACTCTTCACTTTTCCAAACACAATGAAAGTGACGTCTCCAACGGGTGTTGTACGTCGTCTTCTCATGAGATGAAGCCAAGGAAGCGGCTCGCGTGCGGGAACGTGACGGGTTGACGCATCGCAAGACCATGAGATATGGCGACCGCTTGGGGAGGTCTCCATCCAGCCGTGGATAGATCATGGACTATGATGGTGATAATGCATCACTGCCGCAGGAGCGGTGATCCAGCGGTTCATGCAGTGCGCTGGGAACCTGCTGGCCACACGAATTCTAAACTAAAACTACGTAAAACTAAACGATGTTTATTTTTTTCCAGGTAAGGCCCACTGAGCTATATAGCTTTTTTTCAGAAACGACCTGGCCACAAATGATAGCTCAACAGAGTGGCCTATCACGTGGAAATGTAGAGCAGCCAAATACTTGAAACGCACGTAACTAAATGTGGAGGGGAATATCGGAGAAAAATCCACGCGGTCACGAGGAGAGTGACACGCAAACTCCAAATATACAGCAGGCGCCACGGTCGGGATCGAATCCACGACCTCCTGTACACCAGGCGAGGGAGTTAACATCTCCTAGCCACCGTGATGATGAGAGAGAGACACACACAAACTCCAAATATACAGCAGGCGTCACGGTCGGGATCGAATCCACGACCTCCTGTACACCAGGCAAGGGAGTTAACATCTCCTAGCCACGTGATGATGAGAGAGACACAAACTCCAAATATACAGCAGGAGTCACGGTCGGGATCGAATCCACGACCTCCTGTACATCAGGCGAGAGAGTTAACATCTCCTAGCCACCGTGGCGCCCTATTCAATTCAATTCCCATCCCGACCGAACTTCAGTTCTAAGTGATATATGTACAGGTCCTACTGACCAACGTGGTGAAGTATAGTCAAACAGTTCCCATAACCAACATAGGATGAGTAGGCTTTCATCCGATACGTGTATCGAATCACGTTGGTAAGAATCGATGTTCACGTTACCTCTGAAGCAACTCGTGGCCGCTACGTTCTCCGTGTTCTTGAATCGAATCACGGCACTATTTTGCCGTGGGGAATGAGTCGTTGCTCTCCGTGCACTGCTAAAAATTTAAATTCACAGAAGTACAGGGTTATCGCTCCTCGACGCCCCCGGGAAGGTTGGTTAGACAACATCTGTGCGGTGACCCACCAACCCTCGCCTCCGCAATGATCGATTACAGGCCACGTGCACAACCACTACTGCACAGTTTTGTAAGGGAACAGTCTCAACCATTGGTGCCACGACAGTAATACAGGATGGCATCAATGATTGTGGGTTTTGTTGGTTCAGTTAGAAAAATAACAACGCATTTATCATGGTAGCCATAACTTTTGGGCCACCCAGAGCGTGCGTACACCACCAACAGATATAGCACTTTCGCAAGAGAGATAACAAGTCGTTTAGTGAGACACGGAGCCTGAGATAAGCAATGGGTGTGCAAACTGCGTGTCCTCTTGCAGTGTGCAGGTGTGGAAATTACGAGTTGTTGCTGTAGTTCATTGCTGCCATTGCCACTGCTTCTTGTTGACTGCGTTTTTAAGGAAAAAATCAGGACAAAAAGGACATTGGTGAGACAGTTGGATATCCATGCGTATAATTTGCTGGCCTAAATAAAGTTACAACAATACACTGGATCGTGATGCACATTTCACTTGTGAGCAATTGGTTCAAATTACTATCAACATTGAACATGAATGCACCGTTATAGTCATGCGATTTTGCAAATCGGCAGTGCTAGTTACATACATTAATGGTTGGCATGCATATTCTGTGGGTATTTCGGTAAAGCCATCTAATCGATTATTTTTTCACCTGATGACGATTACTTGTGTTGCGATCGAAACGTGATATTTTTTATTATTTTTTCTATATACGTGGCTTTACCGAATGACCCAAAGAATTTGAATTCCTGCAGCCACGAAAGCTTTAAATCAAGAGTTGGCATGCATTTGAATGAATCCATGCTTACACTACACTTTGCGACTAAACGAAGCCTTTGACATTCTTGCATTATGCAATACTACAGTGCTCACTAGACACATGCACTCTCTTCTGTAGTAGCCAACCAGACTTTCCATGAACTTTATCTGTGGCCATGACAAGCATCGGGGTGAAAGTGCAATTTGCAGCAAACGACCATTGCATCAGAATTGATTTGAAGCTTTCGTGACTGCAGGAATTACTCTTTGTTTTTTTCTGTAAAGTCACGAATAAATAAGAAATAATAAAATAACATAATAGCGTACGACGTTTCGGGTTGCAACACAAGCAGCCATCATCAGGTACAGAAGAGCTAAATTTACGAGAGAGGGGAAACACATAACCTCAGATGCATATACAGACACCCAAGTAGGGGGAACTAACACATACAACAGGGGACACAGAGAGAGAAGCATACCAGACAAATAGGGTTTAGCAAAATTTTGGAAATAAATTCCTGCAGCCAGGAATTTGAAATAGCGTGATCAACCGGACTATGCGTTAATTGTGTTTTGACCGACCATCTGTGTTGCTTTATATGGTTTCCAAAATTTTGCTAAACCCTGTTTGTCTGGTATGCTTCTCTCTCTGTGTCCCCTGTTGTATCTGTGTTAGTTCCCCCTACTTGGGTGTCTGTATATACATCTGAGGTTATGTGTTTCCCCTCTCTCGTAAATGTAGCTCTTCTGTACCTGATGATGGCTGCTTGTGTTGCAACCGAAACGTCGTACGCTATTATGTTATTTTATTATTTCTTATTTATACGTGACCATTGCATCACTCAGGATAATTTAATGGCTTTGCAAAACGACCTTTATTAGATGTGTAGAGGTGTTTCGGGAGGGGGACACGCGGTTGTAGGGCGGTAGCCACAAACACGTCCGCTACGGCCACCACCCTGGAGGGCTGTGGGGGACGCTGCGATCCCTCCCAGCCCCACCCCTCAGTGAGGAACTGTATAAAAGGAGGGACCCGGAGAGCTGAGGGGCAGTTTGACTCAAGCAAGATGAAGAGCCAGTGAAGAAAGAAGATCAACTAGCTAGACCCTGGAACTCCTTTGGCCCGATGTCCTTCTGAAGGCCGGTGATCGGGACCTGCACCGAAGCTGGGCCAGGTCAGATAGCCTCTTAAGAGAGGACCAGGATAGAGGGAACCAGGGAGCTAGCGTGAGGCCGTTACCTCTTCAAGTATCAGATTAGCCACTGTAGAGTCAAGTGTCTGTAATAAATACGTGTTGCCTCCAAAGAACAAGTCTCCGTAGTCAATAAGGCTACTACAGATGTACTTGGAAATACCTGCGGATTCGACCCACCAGGCATCACAAATAGGATGTACAATATGGACTCTTCTCAGGACTGTTTAGAATGATTTCGGCGTTCCGAGACATTCATCCAGCAGTGGATAGACAGTGGCTGATTATGTTGAATACGACTGTGAATTTGCACTATACAAATGGATCATATTTTATTGTGTACAAGCTGATTTCATCACTTAGTCTCCAAGGTGGTCTTACTAACATGTGTATTGACACTTTTTGCTGCCGTTCTGTCACCAGCCTTTTTTAATTTTAGCAGGTAAGGCCCACTGAACTATATAGCTCTTTGTCAGAAGCGAACTAGCCACAAATAATAGCTCAACTAAGTGGCTTATTGTAGAAATGTATAGCAACCAAACACTCTAAATGCATGTTTCTAAATGTGGAGATAAAAATCGGAAGACCCGGAGAAAAATCCACATGACCACGGGGAGAACATGCAAACTCGAATTATAGAGGTGTCAGGCTTGGGATTCAACTCACGACCTGCTGCGTTCGAGGCGAGAAAGAAAACTTCTCGCCACCGTGACACGTATCCATTGGCTTTTATAAATTCTAGCGTTTGAAGGCAGATTGGGATGAAATTATGACATAACGAAGTGAAGGTGAGCACGATAGGCGTCTTTCGAAGAAATATATTTGGGAATGAAAAATAACATTCCAATGAGCATGCAAAGTTTTTCAATCATTACCAATTCATTACCTGCCCTGGGATCAAAACTCTCGACAATTGCACGGACACAACAATGGATGCTGGGAATTTACAAAGAGAACCATGGAGAGGACCACATGGATTTATGTTCTACTGTCTCAAACAAGCAACTTTAATTTCAGGGAATAATCCCAGAAGATTACCCCATCCACCAAGTGTCCGTTCTTCACTCATTTTCAGAGGGGAGGCCACTTGCACCGATAAGACATCGTTAGTATGAAGGCCGCCACACATTTAAAACCATTGGGGGTTACAGCAGCACGATGATGATGTTGGGTGGTGTTCTCATTCGCTGTGTATCGTCAGGGGCCCCACTAAAGGCCACCAGGGGTCGCCAGTGACCCGCCAGGCTGGCAGTGAAGGACGCCGCCTTCCACCCTCCCGCTTGTGACTTCAAGCGACTCTTGAGCAACTCGAGATGGAGCGCCGTCGTGCTATGTAGAGAGAGGTTCACGGAATTCAATTCTACGTTGTATTACTGTGCGCACCTCAGCAATACAATGTAGGATTTGGATGTATACGGCGCATAAACACTCAAGAGGTTTTATAACAATTCGACGTGATGTAGACAGTAATAAAGTGTATATATAGTTAGGTACATACATTTTATGAAAAAGGTCATATTCCACATATATACCATCAACTTATCGAGGCTAGACCTGTTTTCTGATTTTAGCACTCCACAGCAGTATGTAGATACTTGTAGAAATGCCAAGATGGGTAAACAATAAAACATTTATACTTTGTGGCGTTGGTACACAAAACATGCACTTTGCCTAATAAAGTGCATCAACGTATTCTTAGCTCTTTCGGTAAAGTCACGTTGTTTCCCTTCAACGTGACTTTACTGAAAGAGCTAAGAATGAATTACTGCAGTCACGAAAGCTTTAAATCAAAATTTGCATCAACGTAAGTTTAATTCAATTTGTGCGAGATGTTATACTTGACTATGCTTCATAAATGAAACTCCTACTTTTCTTATTCTTAGCTCTTTCGGTAAAGTCACGTTATTGTTTTATATCTATTTTATTATTTTATTGTTTCCCTTCAACGTGACTTTACCGAAAGAGCTAAGAATATGAATGACTGCAGTCACGAAAGCTTTAAATCAAAATCCTACTTTTCTGTAACCCTCGATCCTTCTATTAGCACGGTTGACCACGTACGGAGCGAAATAAGTTCTACAGATATACGTACTGCGCTGTGCTCTTTCACTAAAAGTGCGAATTTACAGCAAACACGTACTCGCCACTCGCCAGCGTTCCGGCCGAAACGAGAGCCGCGGGAATGTGGCAGCACACGTCGAGTGGAAAATGACCCCCCTCGGAGTAACCTTTTCGACAATACGTGTCATCTCTTGAACAGACACCGCTCGAGACCTGAACACCAAACATTGCCTCTTGGCGTTATTTCTGCTGTGCACGTCAAACAGCGGCCTACGCTCTGTGAATATCATGACGCGCGCCAGGAGTGGAATGGGGCACACCACGCCAGAGCCGAAGGTCACCGGGGTCGATTCCTGGCCATGCACAGGGGTGGCGATGGGAATCTGAAAGAAAACTGGAACTATCTATGGGACCTTTTTGGCAGTATCAAGACGATTAAAATATATAATACGTATACTTTTGCGAGGCACACGCTGGAAATTAGGCATATAGATATAGCGTTACAACTGTATGAATGTATGTTGAACTTCCTTTGTACCGTACGTAGCCGACCATGCTAAGGTGCCGGGGAAGAACAACAAACGAAGCACAAACAGACTGATGGATTCAGTTCCGCAGTGAACTCCACGAGGGTGGCTGATGTCCCTGACAGACGCTTTTCATCTTTCGCGATCTTCAGTGTCTCTCGCGGAGTTTCCTGTTCCACTTCTCACACTCGTCCACCTTCAGCTGCGGACCTCTTATGATACGACCCACATTTATGGTTAAATGTTCATAGTGGAACACAAAATCTCGTTGGTTGTGACTCAAATCATGCCAATGTGTCACCCAGCCATCTGCCTATACAGGAATCATGCTTCTACATGTGATGCTGACTACACGTTGTGATAGACCACGGGTGACTTTGTTTTGCTAACTATTAAAAAAAACACCTTGAGATGCAAAAAGTAATTGTTGCGTCAGTATGGTGAGAAAAAATGCAGACCAGGTCACCGTTTAAAAAATGCGTTAAGAATTTTGCGCTGAGAAACAGTAATGATAAAACAGCGATTATGTGCAGAAGCCAGATTGATTATGGTATTGCCGTACAATGAGGGGTGGCATTGGGGTGGGGAAGCTTTCATCCAGCAGTGAATGCACCGAACTTCATTTAAACTGTAAATACAAATTGTATTTTACATGTTTGAGTGATCCTGTGAAAAAAAATAGTAACACGGTAACGATTTGGGGTTATTGAGGATGTATTTCTGTGAAAATCCCTGTTTATATGTTAACGCTTTGTGTTTAAACACTCTGATGATGTTTACACGTTCCTGTTAGTTCACAACACCATCATTTATAGGTGAATAGGTGTCTACTGAATTAAAATCTGTTTTAGTCAACCATATTTAAGCCAGCTTCTCCACTGTCGTGAGTTTGGTGGTATCACCTTAGTGAAGACTGCACAGAAAACATCTGTGTTTTTTTTTCCACTCCGGCCCGCTTATGTCCAGCTACGAGAGATGTGCTTCTCCACTGGGCCATTGGCGGTCAACAGCTCCATGCCGTGTACAGCGAACTGGTCATTAAAGTACACGTGTTGGTATCTTAAATACAGCAGGAATTGTGTAAGACGTATCCTATCCAAGACGACTCAATAATGACGTGTAGCACAGTCAAGTTCCATATCTAAATTAAGAAAATGATTTTAACATTACCATCAACAGCCACGCTCTATCCACAGCTAGCTTAATGCTACCCAAAGCCATAGATCTCAGAATCTCAAGATGCAAACGTAAATCTAAGCTCCTCCACACAAGCTGATCTCCATCTCTGCGGTGGATACCCTCCTTTAGCTACGACTTCTTACTTAGTCTCCAACAACGGCCTTCTTCCATTATTGTTTGTCCGTGGGGTTTTTACAATCATTCAGCTCATTGTGATCATGCTTGTTTACAATTGTGTCTCTCAGATCTATAGCCGGTTTATAGTACATCTTCTTTGGTTCTTTGGGTAGAGTCACGTAGAATGAGAATAAAATAATAAATTGATAAAATATTATTTTATTCTCATTCTACGTGACTTTACCGAAAGAACCAAAGAAGATGAATCATTGCAGTCACGGAAGCTTTAAATCGAGGTTTATTGTACACTTGTTGTACATGACTTTGGTGGTAAAGTGTGGTTAAAACAACCCCTATGACTACTAAAACGGCGTTCATCCAGCATTGGAATGACAAAGATGCTGTTTAATTAGCATTTTTATTTGGGACTAAGCCAAAAAAAGTACCTTTGTCGAGGGAGCCCTGTTCTGAGACTTTATGGCGAATTAAAGTTGTCGTTTGTCTCGTTGTTGACCGTCACAAGGTGTTGTTGCTGCTGCCTACGAAATTAAACAACCGTGTTCCGTGAAGAATGTAAAACAACACCCGACATGCCCATTACTGCCAATGAGGAGTTCCTCGTTCCTGTAATGGGGGGCGCAGGGGGGGGGTGCGGGGGGGGGTCTACCACTCACTCCCCTCAACCAATCACAAAGCATCTCGCGCCGAGCATGGCTCGATCACGCGCCCGACCGACCAATCATCGGCGAGCTTCGACTATAAATAAAAGCGCTCGGCGTTTTTGCCATTCAGTCGTCAGTTGTATCGCCACGTGGTCGCTGCTGTGGAGCGGTGAGGTTGGGTCGCTGTCCAAGCCAGCAGTGATAGGCAACGTGGCAGCCGACTCAAACTAACACGATACCTGCCGACTGGTCACGTCAGGTTCGGGAAGCACTCTCTCCCGCCCAGACTTTGTTCGGTTGTTATTTTTCAAGAGCGCGCACAGGTACGTTGATGTTGCTGCTGCTGGTGGTGGTGTTACCATGGCGTGTGCAGTAATTGTGTTCTTTGTGTACCAGCTCCGAACAATACTAGCCAGGGAGCAGCGGAATTAACCCCTGCCAAGTGTTACACGGCGGATAGTGTTACACAACGCTGTGGAGTCGGGAGTTGGGGTTACATTCATAATGCAATTGTTTAAAATGTTTACACGAAATGGTGATATGCAGAGTAGCGTTATCCTTTGTTTCAGAGAGCACGTGGGCAGGAATTTGTCAGCTCTTGACTGTGTAGACTTGCATTCGGTAATATAAATTGCGCAATTCCACGTGTGTATGTGTGCATTCGTACAGAAACGATCTGATTATGTGGATTAAGATGTTTATTTTATACCATACAATGTTAGACTGATGTATATTTGTGAATGTATAATTTTATTTTGTGTTAGGTTAATAGCGTGGTGTTTTAAGCCGAAAACCTTATATATTTGGAATGCCATTTTGTATTTGTGAAACAATCGATGTGGCTGCTTTATCAATTATTAAGGGATACGCCGTTACGTAACCACAGGATGTGAACAAATATAAGGGAGAGATAGAATGTAGGCGATCCGCAGGCTTGTAATATTACCTTCAAGTAAACACGATGACCTTCGCTTTGCTATACCACGACCAATGCAATAGATGATGTGACATTTTGAGATTTTTTTTATTCCCAATTTGATAAATTGTGGAATGTGTCTGCAGGGATAACCTGGTAAGCAAGGCGATTAGGGTTTTTTTTTAACCCTTGCTTAGTCACTCAATGGTGGCTGCTGCCAGGACGTTTATGTTTAAGGCAGATTGCCCGCACACAAAGGCATTCGTGGCAGAGGGCATTTGGGTACGAGGTCCCTCCTTGGTGGCTTTAGGGCGACTTTAAGATGGGCACTCAAGTGGCTGTGCCGGGTCATTTGAGGCATCTGCCTGTAAACGATGGTTTACATTGGGCACGAAGCCCACATCACAGCTATTCGTGTACTGTACCTTGAGGTGCCAGTACATTGAGGCCACCACAGACCAAGCGGGTCGCAAGCCAAAATCACATGGAGCCATTTTATTGGAATTGGGTAAACAAAAAAACTACATCTTTAAAGAGCCGTAATGAATGTAAATAACGTCACGAAGCAGTCCTTAGAGCCTCCATGCGGCCCCCGAGCCTCCATGCGGCTCCCGAGCCTCCATGCGGCTCCCGAGCCTCCATGCGGCTCCCGAGCCTCCATGCGGCTCCCGAGCCTCCATGCGGCTCCCGAGCCTCCATGCGGCTCCCGAGCCTCCATGCGGCTCCCGAGCCTCAGCTCTCGGGCACACGAATCCATGTGATTGCAAGGCGACTCAACAGAAATGATTAATGGTGTCAAGCGCACCTGATTAGCAAGTGTTCTATAGGTGAACAGTAAATGTAGCTCTTCGATAGAATGAAAAACGGCGTTTTCAAACCGACACTTTAGATTAGCAGTCGCAAAAGTTGATTCTTTAGTTAGATTTGCCAATTTATCATGGCTCCTGTATAATGATCACATTTCAAACATTTTAAGAATGCGCTTGAACATCTGTATCGTGAAATGCCTTCATGAAAATTGGGGACAACGTTTGATGCAGAGAAATTCTGGAACGTTTAGGATTACTTTTGGATGATGGCTTGTCCCCTAGTAATTTATCCAGCCGTTGTCGTAAGGGGGTTTCAAATGCCGCGGTTGTGGTAATTCTGTGCTTGGCTGTCGTTACAAGCAGTTATTTTTAAACTGAGTTTATTTTCAATACAGCTGGAGTTACGTTCCTAGAGCCATCTTTGGCAATAGCCTTGCTTGAAAAGTGGGTGTCTTGCCGCAAACAGACCGGTCCTCTTGCCCCTCTTAAACCCAGAGCGCGATATCCATTCAAAGGGTTCACAGTGTGCATTGCATTTTTGGTCTGCTGGCCAATAAGGCCCTTGTCGAGACCTGGCACCGTATGCAGTTTCACCTTCCCCCCCCCCCCCCCTGATCAGTTTAGATCAGAGTTTACAGCAGATATGATGGATTGACTAACTGAATGCTAAACTAGATGGACTTTGTTTAACCCGATTTGGCTGCATACGCCACCTCCCCTCAATCGGGTGTGATATTCTGTTGTTGGAAACACAATTTTAGGTTACATAAGAAATAAAATAGATTGTAGGCGATGTGTTCAGTTGGGTGAAGAGTGTGCAGTGGAGTTCCCATGCGGTTTTAAAATGTTAACAGGGGTTAATCTCTTGGCCTCTTTTTTTTGTTAAAACTGTAGCAGTTGCAAACATAAATTTTGATAATCTTTACTCTTTTATTTCGGCAAAGTCACGTAGGTAGACATAAAATAATTTTCTAACTCTGGAGTGAGGCTGAATAATTGTGAAATCTTTGGTCGCATCGTGTCACGCCGTTTGCATAAAGTACATGGAGTTAAAATGTCCAGCAGCTACGTTGCTGCCCTAAGCGAGAACGCATGATAGTTGTACTGATAGGGAGATGGTTTCGTGGTCACCATCCACCATGTGAGGTTGTTAACTTGAAGCTTTGTTTTGTGGCGTGAATGCTCTCTTCGTGGTCCTCGTAAAGGCTTGTGCGCTTGGATTAATCTGCTTCAGCATGAGCCACGTGATCAATTACAATCCAGTCCATTATATACACGTGTAGTCGATGTTGCTGCAGAGAGACCATGTCTTCTGCCATGGTTTGTGGCGAGACTAAAATGCGCGGGTTTCCCCCCCCCACCTCCAGAACCAAGTTGCTGCCATGGCCACGTCGGAGAGCTCACGGCTCAACAAGATGGTGAAGAGCAAGTACATGGAGCTGCCGCAGGGCGACGCGGTGCAGGCCATGTACATCTGGCTGGACGGCACGGGGGAGGGCCTGCGCTGCAAGACGCGCACCCTCGACGCGGAACCCAAAACCGTGGCCGGTGCGTGAACCACCACAACAGCCCCCTATTCGCAATAGTAGCGGTGGCTTTCGCGATGGCGCTTATGCCAGCCTCGGTGCATTTTTTTTTATGCCCAAGCCAAGTGCCCGAAATCTCACTGGCAGGAGATAGCAGAACGGAGCCCTGCCAGGTGTTTTGGGTTAACCGAGATGACTGGCACCATCTAGCTGTGGACAGTACGGCAAGTAGCCCAGATTTAGCTCAGGTTTGTTGGGTTTCTCTTGTAGTGTTATACAAATGAATTTGCCAAATATTTCAAACCTATCCCTCAAATGGTTCACGCAGATACCCAAATCTTAAGGCGTAGTGGAGAAATAATTTAGTGGTTGTTTGTTGTTTTGGTCATTTAAGGTGGAGACTGTTAAGTGATTATTTGGTGGCCCTTTCCTGAGGTTTATACACGTTACTTGCTGGTGCTGTGTGGCTTTGTGAGGCCTGCACTCTTGTTTTTCGCCCCAAGGGTTGGCAGCTTAAATCTACATTCGTTCACCTCATTGTAATAAAATGGGGGGACTTTATTTGCTCTAAAACCTGCACATTGTCTTATAATTGTGTGAAGTAGCCTGCGACAGTAAGCCATTCTCTTTTGGCACCACATCTGAATTCTAACAGGGACCCAAGCTTGGTAATCTGCCAAACAATTGTCGCGAATGATTGTGAAGTGGCTGATGCCCCCTTGCACTTAGCTGGGTGGGTTGTGATTCCTCCCTGGTCCAAACCACCAACAAGACAAGTTGATACCAGCATCCTCATTAGGAGGCTTGAATGGGAGCTGTGTTGAATCAATTGTGAATCCTTCCATTGCCAATCTCTTACAGATCTGCCCGAATGGAACTTCGATGGCTCGAGTACGTACCAGGCAGAGGGGTCCAACAGCGACATGTACCTGATCCCTGTGGCCATGTTCAGGGATCCCTTCCGCAATGACCCCAACAAGCTGGTGCTCTGCGAGGTCCTCAAGTACAACCGCCAGCCGGCCGGTGAGCTTCTGCAAGTGCCTGTTTTTTTGGTCGACCCACTTGCCTGGCTATACCTGATTTACGTTGTGTTTTTTGCTTGCAAAAAAAACATCCAATCTTGTAGCTCCTTGAATGTTTATGTATAGTTAGATTGAATTGTTTTAAAATAAGGCCTCGAATGTGCGAGTATATACGTCTTCAATTTTGTTGTGGATTGACATTACATTTAGACCAAGCCACATTATAAATTGCCTATTTGCCTGTAAGGATTTTTTGTAAACGATGGACAACTGCACTATAGAGCCAGGTCTAATTTATATTAAAATGAAGCACCGCTTGTGCATTTCGAGGGCAGTGTGGGCCAACTCAAGGTGGAGCTAAGATGGTGCCATGCCACAATTTCCAGTTTGCCCCGAGGAGCCTCTTGAATGTTCAGTTGCTTACCGTCTCCGTGTTTGTGTGGTTTTTTTTTCGCCCTGCAGAGACAAACCTGCGTGGGACCTGTAAAATGGTGATGGAGCGGATTCGGGCGCAGGTGCCGTGGTTCGGCATGGAGCAGGAGTACACGATCCTCGGCGTGGATGGGCACCCCTTCGGCTGGCCATCCAACGGCTTCCCCGGGCCCCAGGGTGAGCGCTGGGGGTGACGCATGCATCATCGCTTTGTTGTGGGCTGCACGGATAAATGTGATCACTATATAAGAAACAAAGCAGCTCTGTAGGCTCGGTAAGCTTGCTGTTTTGTTCAGTCTTGAGCATTTGAGCTGAATCATAAACGTTTCAGGTTATTAACTGTTCCTTCTGATATGAATTTTCCTGGCATATCACAGCAAGAGCAGTGCTATGGCCATTCTGTATAAACTGCTAACTTAGGCAGTATTGGTTCCAGTTCTTTCGTGATTTACCATTGAATCACAACTATAATTGGGCTATTGGCAGTGGTGGCAAATTGTGGAGAAGGCTGCTCTAGATGTTTTTTAAAAACCTTGTACCTGGCAATGTGGTGTTTCACAGTTATAATAAAGGACTCATGGTTTATGTGTGCATGTGGTGGTGGCAACCAATAACTGGGGCGAGTGTTTGACCAACTGCCCTGTCCTTTGTGCCTGTAGGTCCATATTACTGTGGTGTAGGCTCTGATAAGGCCTACGGTCGGGACATCGTGGAGGCACATTACCGAGCATGCCTCTACGCCGGTGTGAAGATCTGTGGCACCAACGCAGAGGTCATGCCCTCGCAGGTAAACAATGGGGACACGGCATCCCAGTCCTTGATACACTCGTCTCGATCGTTACATGTTTAAATGACCAGTCAAATCGATCAATTCGTCAAACTCTGTCGGTGCACTTGGGCCTCTTGATTTATTTTACTTTATTACATCGTGATTGGGCAAGGTTAAATAAAATGTCACGATGTTTTCTGTAAGTGAAGGCAAAGCCCTCGTTTTAGTTTGGCTTGGCATTTTTTTATTCAAAGTTGACCTGTTCATATATGTCAAAAAGGTTTATAGGGTAATGCTTTCTGTTTATCCAATTTCATTATTAGACATGTCTAATGAGTTGGCATGTTGATACATACCCGAGACTGGCAGTGAAACACAATCTTGTCGCGAGAACCATCGGCACTTTTAGTAATTAAATATTATTCCGCATTTTGTTATTATTGCCGCAATTCTTGTTCACAATGTATTGAAGCGATGGCTGCACACGTTTTTAAATTGTGCTTGATATGTTTTCAGTTTTGATTTAAAGCTTTCGTGACTGCAGTAATTCATATTCTTAGTTTTTTCGGTAAAGTCTCTGATCAGAATTGCGAAATGGGTGTAGTAACGCTGAGAAGCCAAAATGTCGTTACTACCGAGGGCTCGTTAATCGGAATGTATTGTTTCCTGTCAACACGCACTCGCTGCGAAGTGAAAAATTTCTTATTTTGTCGGTCTTGTGCAAGAAGCAGTGGGGATTAAATGTTTATTCATGTATGTGATGACGTTGGGATGATTGGCCACACATTACCCCTCTGGCACTGTGCAGTGGCAGACTAGAATGTGAACTATTTGACATCCACACCCACGGTTTGAACTGCTGTCGCCCGAGATCGCACATTCAATGACGCCAGCAGTTGTCGCAGAAGGAAATGAATTGACACTTAGGAAAATGCCAAGACTGCACCCAGAATCCAAATTGTGAAATGTTACTTAACCTGTGCAGCATTTTCTTGAGAACAAATGGCTTTTACCTGACAGAATTGGGTTCGATAATTGCATTTTTGGACATGAGGATGCTTCATTACAAATATTGGTTCCTACTTTAAATTGTGCGCCGAGTGCTTGCCATTGATGTTGAGATTGCTTTACCTCTTCAACATCCGTGGCAGCCAGTTAAGAAGCGCCCCGCTCTCACCAATGAAGTATGGGGTCTTGCGGAGGTTCAGCTTCCTTGTGCAGAGATCACTTGTACCAGGGATAGAGGAATAATGTTGTGGACTAACTCTGCACAAGTAAAAACTGTTAACCCCCAAAAAAGGTAACTTTTTAAAGCATCATTTTTTTACAAATTCATGAAGAGAGCAGCTGTACATCACACGGTGCTACAAATCGGGTTACTCGTGTTTTAATTCCTGGCAACAGTGTAGTGTGTTGCGGTTTACACTGGCCACTCGTATACCTCGCGTGCCCCAATAGGTGGTCGTTAACAGCGTTTAATTCGACAGCCTGAGCGGTCGGTCACTCTTCAGCTCCCGCCTGCCCATTTGTGCTCGATGTTAACCTCGTCCTTTGTCTCCCCCTGCGTAGTGGGAGTTCCAGGTCGGGCCCTGTGAAGGCATCGACATGGGTGACCACCTGTGGGTGGCTCGCTTCATCCTGCACCGCGTGTGCGAGGACTTTGGTGTCGTGGCCACGTTCGACCCCAAGCCCATCCCGGGCAACTGGAACGGTGCTGGCTGTCACACCAACTTCAGCACGCTGCCCATGCGAGAGGATGGTGGCCTGCAGTAAGTTTTCTTCTCCCCTCCCGTTCCGTTTCCGGTCGTAACGATCCGTTTGTGAAATGTTGCTGCACAAATTGGCAACTTCGGGGCCGGATGGGCCATCATTTGGCATCAAAGTGTTATAGTCAACTTTCTTGAGAACATCCGTGAGCTTTACACTCTTTGGATGGGTCTGTTGACGTGTGCATGGGGAGATGGACTTTGTCTATTTGTGTTGGCCCATCGACCTATTGCTAAATGCTTTTATCTGTATTTTTAACGTCGAGGTCAAGAGATCGTCGTGGTCATAACCTTTTGATGCCACCTCAAACCAGTGTTGCAGTGGTTAATGGCTAGTATTGTGCACGAGGTATTCCATTGTAATCGCTTATCTGCTGTTAACTTACAGATTACCCAGGGTCCTTCTACCCTGTGGATGGAATCAAATAGGTGTTCCATAACCCTGGACCAAAACCCATTTTTAGCTATCAATTTTAAAATTACTTCCTACATCTGGTAAAGACCTCCAATTACAAATATGGACTACATTAAAATTTTCATTTCAGCAATTGAACTGACAGCGTGGTTATCTCTTCCATGATGATGACGGTGGTGAACATGCCCGCCTACGCACTGACTTTTATTAACCATGCAAACCCAAATTGTAACGCATCTAACGTTAGTATCCCCTCTGCGTGTCTTTCGCCTGTCCCCCGTCGCGCAGGCACATAGAGGAGGCGATCGAGAAGCTGGGCAAGCGGCACAGCTACCACATCCGCGCGTACGACCCGCGCGGGGGCCTGGACAACGCGCGCCGTCTCACGGGCTCGCACGAGACATCGAGCATACACGAGTTCTCCGCCGGCGTGGCCAACCGCGGCGCGTCGATCCGCATCCCGCGCCAGGTGGGCCAGGACGGCTGCGGCTACATGGAGGACCGACGCCCCTCGGCCAACTGCAACCCCTACGCCGTGACGGAAGCGCTGATCCGCACGTGTTTGCTGCACGAGAGCGGCGATACGCCGACCGTGTACAGCGACAAGGACGAGAAGGCTTAGGGCAGCGTGCCGCTCCCTGCCCGTCCATCCACTCCCACGCTGCCGCCATTCCCGCTCGTTGTCCCCGTTTAGCCGCGCGTGTCGTCACCGCCGCAGTGTCCCTTCGTTATCCCTCACCCTCGATTGTTTTCAGGGTTCTTTTGTTTGGTTTTATTATTCCTTTCCATAAACTGCTCACCTGGTGCGAGGAGAAATGAGTGATCGTAACAATAATAACAACCCATGTGTTTCTCATGCTAGATTTTCATGGGGCATTTTGGTTTTGTTTCCCCATCTGCTTCGTGCCACTGCTCATGGTAACGAATGGATTATAATACATGTTTGTCGCTAATTTTTTTCCTTCATTATTTAACTGTTAACATTGTCATATCACAAGTGCAGTGAATGATTATAATTATTTTGCTTCTGCTCTGTGTGTGCTCTTGCCAATCCACGCATTGTCTGTTATGATTTAGATTGCACTTTGAATTCTCGTTGGCTGGTACACGGGCTGAGCAACCTCGGCTGTTCACAAGAATGTAATGCTCCGTTTAAATTCTCATTCAAGATTAAATGTAGTCTCTGCTTTTACCGTTTATTTTTAAACAGTTATTTTAAGCCTTTGACGTTTTTTCTCTTTGCTTATGAATCTTGCGTTTTTAGTTTTATATAAATTAACGCAAATCACGTTGCAATAATACAATACCAGAATATAAAAATTGTTTAGGAGTCGTTGTTTACTAAAACATAACTTGTACGGACATACTTAAAGGGGTGCTGTATCTTACAAGTCTCAGACAAATATTTGAGAGTTTTTTGACTGTATGCTACTGTAAGCCTGTTGTCTGCCAAGCGTTAACCTGATGCAATATTTAAAGCTTGCCCTGTTCGTTTGTAAACGAGTCATTTTTGGAAGTCTAATTATTTTCATCCACTTTTGAACGGTTCAAATTGTGTGCTTTCAAACTGCCAACATTTCTAAGGTTCCTATTTCTGGTCTAGATTGGTTTTTGTGGTCAATGCAAATTAAAATAAATGAAAAGCATAACATTTGTTTGCGAGTAATACAAATCTAAACTGGCACAGCTGAAAACTGTTGTTTCGTGTGAACAGTTGGTTTGTGAATGCAAGTCAGCTTTTGTGAGAAGCATTAAAAGAACTTTTAAAATGGGGCATTTTTTTTTACTGGCAAGCTTTTTGTAATTCAGTACATGTAACATAGCAGTGCAGAAAGTAGTTTTGTACTTTTTCAAATTTGCACCCACTAAGACCTCTTATTAAATGTGGTGTTTTTACTTGTAAAAGGCGTTAACGTTTAAGTGCATCTGTGATGTCTTGAAGCCTGTAGAATTTACAGGGTATATAGGATGAAGTGCCATGGTGTGTCTATGGTATTTCGTGATGTTTTACCATGCAGTCTTGGTCTGTCCAGTATCTTGGTTTTTGGGTAATAAAATAAAACAAACCTTGAAAGGTTCACTTTGAGACTTTTGTTGTGTGTTATGCTTTAGCTGAATTGAATTATTGATCCTTTGACTTTCTAATGGTGTGTAGAGTGCCGAAACAATTGGTAGTGCACAAAACATCATCTGCACCAAATTAGCACGATTAGAGGCTCTACATTTGGCCAGACAACAGCGATGGTGCTCTTTACCATCTTTGCTCCAGTGTATTTATTTTAAAAAAATGTGCAGCAAATCAGACAACCAAAACGCCTCTCGTCTCCTAACCTGCACAAAAGCCGCAATGGACAGGCAACAACGCAAGCTGTGTGCAAAGATCTCCCTGCAGCCTTGAGGAGTCTACCAACAAGTTCTACGGTCTCCCGTCCATACTCGAGAAAGTGTATACATTTACCATTACAACAAGACCTGCTTGACCCTCCATGGACGCATTGGAAACCCAATCTGGGATCGTGCGAGACGATTGTTCGAAGCGTGGTCAATTGAAGACCGCTGGCGAACACGAGTTCTGTCGACATTCCAAATAAAAGCCTCATCGACGACCCCACGACTGCGTTGATCTGCCAGGAAAACTACGGCGCTCCATTAACCGTTTCAGAACAGCAAGAGGCCGCTGCGCACACCTCCACAAGTGGAGGATTGAAGACAACCCACGGGGTGACTGCGGCCACCGGAACCAGACGATGGAACCACATCGCGAACAGCCGCATCCTACTCCCGCTCTCCAGCGGGACTGAAGCGGCATGAGTCGCCTCATTCCTGAAGCTGTCGCGTGCCTCACAGACTCCAACTTGGACTGTGATTTGCACATACTTGCCCAGACGCTTGAGAGAGAACAAATTCGGTTAGTTTCTAAATCCCAGCTTTGTCATGCTTGACTATTCATTAAAAGCATGGATTGGGTAGAGGCACCTATGGATCGCAATGGCCATTTGGAATAGAAATTGGGAGTAAGACCCATGTGTTTTATTTACTTATAACTTTGGCTGATGCATTTCAGCATAAATTTGTTTGTGTGAAACAAGAAGTTAAATGTCAGTGGTTGGAGAATGGGCCATGTCGCAGGTGTCGGTAGAAAGTGATCAAATGTGACCGCAATTGAGGGCTGGGTAATGTGCATAATACAAGGCTTTGTAGTGATAAGACATATCAGTAAGCGTGGGTTTTGACTAAATAGAACCACTTTGAAAGGGTAGATTTGCCAATTCAAGTGTAAAAGTACAGGGGTGTTCAAGGCATGTGTTAATGTCCTGCTCGAGTACAAACAGTAGAATCTACAAATCACCGAACTTCTCCCACTGTCCACAGTTCGCAATTCTTTCCATAACGCAGGAGTACCATTGGTCCTGAAATCTGTAAAACAATTTATTTCTAGATCTATTTCAGTAGTGGCTAATTGCTCCCGGCCGTTGGAGTCTGCATATTGTAATTTATCTTTGCAATGCACAGCACTTAAAAAAATTCACAGAAGCTGCCGGATAATTTACAAAACAACACTAGCTCGCTGATGTAATCTGTCGAGTCATAAATTATTTTACATTTTTGTAGACTTGATATCAGTCAAGAAATTTGATATCCAAGTCTAATAAAAGCAAATCACTTTTAAAATGGGCTCTTTATATGTTACTGCTCCATTTGGGTGTTAAGAAAAATGGGCACCTCAAGCGGTGAATTTATCGCAAATTAATGGAGCCGCATGGGACACCCTTAACCCGATAGTCTGGAAATGTTTCGTGGATTTTTGGAGTAGCGCAGCTAAATCCTCCTGTAGTCCACCGCACACCTCGTCGACGTGACATCTATGTGGATTGTGGGTAGGCGATATTGCTCCCCCCCCCTTCCCCAAATCAAACTCAGGTTATCGGGAATTCTGCTGTGTATTAGCACGGTTGGCTCCGTAGGGTGCGAAAGAAGTTCAACATACACACGTGTGTGGGCATTTCATCTTGGGAAATTCTTGTTAAACAAGTGAAAATCGTGTACATTTTGGAATGTTGTACATGTCGTGATGAAGAAGTTGCGACAGGTTGGGGCGTGCGTGCGGTGTGGAGGAGGGCAGGTTACCGAGACCGGCACTGAAGTGGCACCCGGAGGTCGGAGACCGAAGGGTAAAGACCGTGGGAGACTTACACAGCAGGCACTGGAAGGGAAGCGCACATTTTTAACCGTGGGCATCTATCAAAAGTTAGGAATGGAAAGATGTGGTAGATTCGTTGGCCGTGGCTGCGATGGTGACACATTGACATCCCAAGAGAGGCAAAGTTATTTCATAATAGTGGCCTTGTTTAAAATCGTTACCCTAGGAGTCCTCTGAATCAGTGTGTTTTGCTTGGGGAGATTTAGCCAATTTATTTCTGCGGCAAGGAACCTTTGACAAACACGCTTTGTGTGGACTATAGTTTTTTTTAATCTAAGCAGAGCCAGTAAACTTGGGACTCAGGGCTATTTTAATGCAGTGTTGCCCCACGTGCCGGTGGTGACTTGGTAGAGCCGTGTCTGACGTCACTGGTCACACCACAGATGTGCAAAGGGCAAGTAAAACAACCACGTGCGGTAGCTTCTCGTGCAGCTCGGGGCCTGGAACGTTCACGATGGACAATTTCGGCTGATGCAACCCCATGGCGTGTGTATGAACATTTGTGTTTTTTTTATTTCCACGAGCCCATTTCATCATAAATTTAATTCAAAGATTGCATTTTCAAATCAAGATTGAATTTTAATTAAAGTTCAGCTTAAAATTAGTAGGAATTAGCAGCTTAATTTTTTTATTGAAATATACTATATCTTAGTTGAGAGTCAATCACAACCAAAACACAACTACCACTGTCTTCAACTTAAAAAAAATATATGTTATGTATACCTGATGCACAAAAGGAAAATAAAAACTCTCCAGTAGTGTGCGACTGGTCATCCAGAACAGACCGCAGTACAACGTATAACGATGCAATGCCCGTTCCACAAATATGAAGGAGACATCGCAGTGATACACTCCACTGCTGCTGACGCAGCTATCTGGGCTTGACCACCTGAATGTGAAATGTAGTTGCTCTGCATCTACATCAGCAGCTATACGGCAGAAGCGGAAAATACTGTACACATTGATGTCTCAAGACGGGGGGGGGAGCGATTGCCCCAAGTCACCCACCACCTGTACCTCTCACCCCCAATTATAATTGTGATTGGGGATGAGAGGTTAACGTTGTTTTTTATGTCAGTATTGGGCCCCGTTTAAAAGCACACCACTTTGGGGCATGAGTGTATGCACGAGTGTTCCCCGGGGCGCACTCGCAAATGTCCTAAATACAAAAGCGCTTAATAGCTAACGGGCGTGAGCGAGCCGTGAGTCGTGGTTGTTGGTCAGCGCTCTGCAACAGAGAAAGCCCACGTGTTGGTCGTCATCCATTGCAGCCGAAATGAGGAATACAGCACGCGCTGGGTTTACAGAGCGGCCAAATGCAATCGCGTGTCTGTATGTATGTTGAACTTCTTTCGCACCGTACGTAGCCAACCGTGCTTATCGGAGGTGCGATCCAACCCCAGTGACGAATGTGCACATCGTGGGGAAAGAATGGCGTGTTCATTTTTTATTTTAAAAAAAGGTTAAAAGCAGACACAAGGAAAATCATTTTACCGTTCTCTGCTCAGACAATTTTGAGGATTAATTTCAGGCGACTGTATTCAATAGACTTCAAAGTCTCTTGATATTCTTAACGACCTCATGGTTACAAACGTGCACTCACTTCTACCCCCACAGCCTTTGGTGTCTACACTCTTTGCTTTTGAATCTCAAAGTTCTTAACTCCTGAAAATAATTACCCCAGGGGGTGGAATCGCAAAAGCCTTTGTCTTGAAAAAGACCCACTGCTTTGAAATGACTGACGATTAACAATGGGTTTCAATGAAGGGGAACACTCTTGCAGATGTAACATACTCTCTTGTTAGGGACATTATGCTGCTTTACATACACTGTGCTGCTTGAGAGGTAAACGGCCCATCATTTAAACCACTACTGAGTAAATAATTTAAGCCCTTTATCAATCTACACATGGATTAGATAACCAGAGCAGGTCTACAGATATAATCTTGACTCTTAAGAAAAGTATGTGTGCTTGGGCAGGACACGTGACGAGAAGGGATGATGGCTGCTGGTTGGGATTTGTAACGGATTGGCGGCTAACGGATTATACTGGGGGAATGCGATGAGCTATTAAGCTCTTTTTCACAGATGTCCAACAAACAATACAACACGACAGGAGTGCAAAGTATAGAAAAGATAAACAATCACTGAAAATGTATATCATTCAAATATACTTTTATTTTACCAGGAAAAGCCCACTGAGCTATTAGCTTCTTTCTTAGAAGCGATCTGGGCACAAATGATAGATCAGCGAAGTGGCTTATCGCGTGAAAATGTATAGCAGACAAATAATCTAAATGCATGTTTCTAAATGTGGAGGGAAAAACCTGAGGACCCGGAGGGGAAAAAAAACCACACGACCACGGGAAGAGAGAGACACACAAACTCAAAAATATACAGCAGCAGGCGTGAGGGTTGAGATCAAAGCCCCGACCTCCTGCATACCAGGCAAGGTAGTTAACATCACGCTACTGTGGAATGTGGTCGGGAAGGGCGTTGAGCTATGGATTGTGAGAAATGGTGATGACTTGGGAAGGACTTCATCCACCAATGGATACAGCATGGCTGATAATGACGACCATATCAATATACCACTGGCCTCCGTGTCCATCGTGGGAGACGTTTTACCATACCTTAACGTGGCTGAATTGATGTGAGCCGTGCCCAAGATTCAAACTCTGGCGGCTGATTTCATCGTGCATATGTTCTACATAAGTAGAACATTATTGGATGAAGATTCACAGATAAAATCCCTGGAAAATAAATAACAGAGAACAAAAAACTCACGTTATTATTGGCACCCAAGCCCCCACAATCACCATGCTGATAACAATTATAATCACAGCTCGTATAAACTAAACTATTTTTTTTTACCAGGCAAAACT